ACGCCCATCAGCTGGGCATGGGACACTGCCAGGAGCAACAGGACCCTGGTGCTGGGAATGCATGGTGCCGTCGCTTCAGAGATCCCCGGGGCAGACCCTAGTGAGGCGCTGGCAGGGGACAGCTCTGGGCTTCGCAGCCGCACCTACCAGCACATGTGTGCTTCATCTGAGACCTGTGGGCACACTCTGTGTGCTTCATCTGGAGACCTATGGGCACACTGTGCGCACTTCATCTGGAGACCTGTGGGCACATTTAGCTTTTGCCTTTTTGACAATAGCCACCTTAATTGGTGGGAGGTGAGGCCTCACCATAAAAAGGCAGGATAGGAATCAATGAAGTGTCCACCCGTGGGAGAATGGATGGGTAGACAAACGTGCCGTAGATACACAACAGGGTACTGGTTAGACTTCGGAAGGAGGAACTCCTGTCACTTGTCTGGAGCTGTGGTGTTCATGGACAAACCTGGAGGGTGTCAAGTGAAGTGAGCTGAGCACAGAGAGACAAGCACGTGTGGTCTCCTCCCACGCCGGGGCTGAAAGACGGGCCCTCCTGGCTGGGGGCGGCTGCGAGACCCCGGGAAGAGGGGCCAAAGGACAGGGAATTTCAGTCAGACGGCAGGATCGTTCAAGAGACCCAGTGAACACCAGGGTTCCACAATGGCCTACTGGACTCTTAAAAAGGCCCGCAAAGGTGTTCTCACTACAAAAATGGTCAGTGTGTGTGATGGACAAACGTGAACAGCTCAGCAGGGCCCTTCCGTGGCACAGACATTTTTCGAGATAACATATTGTGCACAATAAACAGACAATATTTATCTTCCCATTAAAAATCATGTTTTTTTTTTTTCAATGGAGAGCGATTCACGAACTGGGAGACTTCAACAGAGAGCACATCTGCGATGTTAAACAGCCACGGGTAGCAAGCATCTTCCTGTGATGGAGGAATCCTTGGTTTTCACAGATACATGTTGACAATGTCATGGATGGAATGCGGGGGGTTGGGGAGGTTCAAGACAAGCTGGTGGGAGGGAAGCAAGTGGGGGGGCGCATGGACAGAAAAGTGTGGCCATGAGTGGACGGTCGTGGAGGCCGTGTTGGGACCCTGGGCATGTGGGCTCTCTCTCTCTCCAAACAAATGGACCCCATGTTTCTGTTCATAGAATGACCCAAGCTTCCAAATACATGGGTGATCTTTTTAAAATTAGATTTACATTTCCTTTAATGATGTGCTTGACGTCCCACATGCTATTATTCAATTGCCGGCTATGGAGAGTAGGCAGATAGATGGACCCATCAGTACGAATCACCCTGACTCTGGGGCAATATCGTGCAGCAGCCTAGACCAGTATTTTGTCACTCACTTCTCCCTGAAGCCCAGGGATTTTATTTATACTACTTCTCAGAGCCTCAACCTTCTCCCTTGTGAAAAAGGGAGGAGGTGAATGATATTTTGTGCACAGAGCAAGTGGCTCTGACCATCAGAGAACTACTTGCTGTTATTACCAGATGGGGATGAAACCCAATGACCAGGTCACAGAGATGACCCCCGATCCATCCAGTCAGGCAGCCTCTCCCCTGCTGTCTGTCTGCCAGGGGAGCACAGCCTGCTGCCCTCCTGGGGCTTAGGGTGCAGGAAATGCAGTCAGGTGAGATGGGGAGCCAGGAGGCAAGACCTAAGGGACAGTCCAGGGACATGTCCAGAGGGCCATCTGCAGGATGCAGCAGAATTAGCCAGGGTGGACAGGGAAAGGAGGAGAAGAGTAGGAAGAGCAAAGGCCAAAGGGTTCCAAGCTGCTGCAGAAGACCAAGTGCTAGGCCCCTGAAGAAGGAAGGAGGATACCAGGGGTGGGTGACTGACAGGTGGAGCCCACGGCACCTGAGGGTGGAGCCAGAGGGCCACAGTGGGTGGGGCTTGCTTCCAGTCCTGCTTCATGCATTCCCCAATCAGGTGGCTATTTTATGAGAGGCTTGTATCATTCTTATAATTTCTTAAAAGCCAAAAAGAAAACAAAAAAATCCCACAAGAGAAAGATGCCTTGTAAACCCTCAGAAAGCAGAGACTGTATTATGGTGTTTTCTCTACTTTTCTTTCTTTCTTTCTTTCTTTTTTAAAGAGAGAGTGAGAGACAGTGAGAGAGAGAGAGAATTTTTAATATTTATTTTTTTTTAGTATTTGGCGGACACAACATCTTTGTTTGTATGTGGTGCTGAGGATCGAACCCGGGCCGCACGCATGCCAGACGAACGCGCTACCGCTTGAGCCACATCCCCAGCCCCTCTACTTTTCTTTCAATAATCAATAATATTTTAAATGTCACTCACATCTGCTAATGAAACCACCTCATTTTCTTAATATTTATTTTTTAGTTTTAGGTGGACACAATATCTTTATTTTATTTTTACGTGATGCTGAGAATCGAACCCAGTGCTTCATGCATGCTAGGCGAGCGCGCTACCACTTGAGCCACATCCCCAGCCCTGAAACCACCTCATTTAAATATAACCAGTGCCATGTCCTCCCGACTGGTTTGTTCCAAGGGCCTCATCCTTGTTGACCTCCTCTCCCTTGTGTGTGTTAGAGGTGCAGATGATAATCGGATAATTGTGCCTAATTTAAAGGCTTCCCACCCAAGCGGCCCTCAGACAGGGTTCAGGGGGGTGGGACAGAGGTTGGAGGACAACAGTCCCCTAGTGAGACTGGGGAGAAGCGCCGGTGGCCTGCAGCACGAAGGAGCTCCTTTTGGGGAGGGCGCAGCGGGCGAGGGGCACGATGTGTTTTTTGGTTCCTTCTCACAGTCGGGGGCCCGGGCGCTGATTTGAAGCAGGGGTGGTGCAGCAGCCACTGGGCTGGAGTGGGGCTCTGGACGCCTGGTGGGCAGAGGCCCTGCTGCAGCTGCTGGAGGGACTTGCCAACCCATTTTTGTCTGTTGCAGAAGGAACTCCAGTGTGAGGCCCTTTCAAGGGGCACCTTGCAGTCTCTCTGCAGGATGGCAGGTGTAGCCTGGGCCACCTCACTTCACCACTGGGCCTCCTCCCCGTGCCCCCACCCACCGCATGTCAGACTGGGAGGCTGCAGCTTCTGGGTGAGTCTAGAGCTAATGACACAGAGGGCTCTGTCAGAGAAGAGGGGCAGAGAGATCTAGTGCAGGGAGAGGTGGGGAGGCCGCCAGCTGCAGAGCCCGCGGGTCACTCACTCGCCTCCATCCTCCCAGGGCCTCTTGCCTGTTTCTCTTTGGGGTGATCAGTGAAAGACCCCTGCCACAAGGCCCTCAGCTGAGAGAGGAGAAAACTGAGGCAAGAGGGGTAATTCTGCCACCAAAGAAACCCCACAAAATGGCCACAGCCTTCTAACCCGACCCCTGGAGGTGCCTCGCACCCTAAAGTCAAGAGCATGAACCTGGAGTCAAGGTTCCCTCCTACGCTGTCACTTTACTGGAGGTGCAGTCTCCCCAAGACTCAGTTTCTCCGTCTGTGAAACAGAGATAATTCACGTGTGTGTGGGGGGGGGGGGCGGGGGTGCTGGGGATTGAATCCATGGATGCTCTACTACTCAGACATAGTCCTTTTCTATTTTGAGACAGGGCCTAGGATTTGAAGTCTTCCGGCCTCAGCCTCCTGAGTAGCTGGGATTACAGGTGTGTGTCACTGGCAATGGGGATAATAATGTTTACCTCTTCAGGTGCTGATTTATTTTAAGTGCACTTTCCTGCTGCCAACACAGCCCAGAGTTCACCCACTTGTCCTCGATTCCTGCCTGCCCTTAGACTGTGAGGTCCCTAAGTGCGAGGACTCAGCTCCTCGTCCCCTGGAGGTGGCATGCTGAATGCAGGACCGGCAGTGGGGTGTATCGGGATGGTGATACTGTCAGGCCTCAACACAGCACATGCACATGGGGACATGCGTGCAGACACCAGTACCAACACAGGGAGCCCATTATTTATGGTCAGAAATCAGTTTTAGGTTCAAAACTATCAAATAACCAGGAATAGAAGGAAAGAAGACTTCTCTGGAGTGAGTCTGTGGCCTGGTGGCTCTTCTGTGGCCAAGCCCCAGCACTCATCCATGTAGCATGGGGACCTCACCCCTCTGTACTGTCTGTCCCCAGCACCAGACTCCTTTCCTGGGTTTCAGAATTCCCACTTTCCGCTCTGAAAGTAGGGTGAGGAGTGGCTCACCAGGTCTGCAAAAGAGGATGTGGAGTTGCTAGATAAGATACACCCTGCCTGGGTAAATATGAATTTCACATGAACAACAATATAATCATTTAGTAAGATGCTGTCTCAATGACTATGTGGGAAGCAGTTACCCTTTGAAAAAGCATTCCTTGTTTATCTGAATTTAACTGGGTCACTTGTATTCACTGTGCTAGGTCTGACAGCCCACAGCACGGTGGAGGTGCGATTTTAACCCAGGCCTACCTGGACAGAGTGGGCCCTTCTATGTTCTTGCAAAATTAGGATGGCCGCATGAGGAACTTCCTGGAATTAAGGGAATTAGAGGAAAGGCTTAGTGAAGAGGGCTTGGTAAGCCTTCAACTACTTGAAACTGGAGTTGTGTTTGCCTCAGTTACAGATAAACCCAGGACTTGGAACCGCTTCCCGCACGAAGGTGGATCTTCGTGTCATTTGTTCTTGTTGTTGGGTGCTGGGTTGGAATCCGGACCTTGCACACACGAAGCTAATGCTCTATCATGGAGCTACCTTCCAGCCTCATAACTGGTTTAATGAAAATTTGTGGATAACACTTTCCCAAAATAGTCCTCCTCCCCAGAAATAGTATCAGCTCAAGGAAGCCCCAGTGGGCTGGAAAGCACGGCTGCCCAGGTGCGTGACTGCATAAACACGTGCCACCAGCCCTGCGCTGCTGCCCCTGCCTGCGTGGTCCCGCCCCCCCCCCCGCTGCCGCGGAGTGCGCATGCGTAGGCGCCCCTCCCCCCCCCCCCGGCCGTGGAGCGCGCATGCGCAGCACAGAGCGCGGGAGCGGCCTGCTTGTGAGGCCGCATGGCCGCTGCGCCCGTGGGGCCTGGGGCTGCGTTCTTCGAGGTCTTGGACCGGCACCGGGCCTCGCTGGTGGCCGCCCTGAGGAGAGGTGGCCCGGAGGCCGGTGCGCAGGGGACCCGCTTGGCCTCCAGGTAGAGGATCCCACACGGCCCGAGCCGTGAGGACCCGCCCGGCAGACCGGCCTCCTCGCCCGGATCTCCAGAGCCCACGGCCGGTGCAGCGCTGCTCGCCGGGGCTCTGGGCACCCGGCCGGCGCTGGCTCGGGCCGCCCGCACCCTGGATGGGAAGGCGAGGCACGAGGTGGCACCCGGCGAGCTAACGGCCCGGTCAGTGAGGCCGGCGGCGGCGTGTCCCGGCTGGGCAGCACTGTGTCCCGGCTGGGCAGCGCTGTGTCCCGGCTGGGCAGCGCTGTGTCCCGGCTGGGCAGCACTGTGTCCCGGCTGGGCAGCGCTGTGTCCGGCTGGGCAACGCTGTGTCCGGGCTGGGCAGCGCTGTGTCCGGGCTGGGCAGCGCTGTGTCCCGACTGGGCAGCGCTGTGTCCGGGCTGGGCAGCACTGTGTCCCGGCTGGGCAGCACTGTGTCCCGGCTGGGCAGCGCTGTGTCCCTGCTGGGCAGCGCTGTGTCCCGGCTGGGCAGCGCTGTGTCCCGGCTGGGCAGCACTGTGTCCGGCTGGGCAGCGCTGTGTCCCGGCTGGGCAGCGCTGTGTCCCGGCTGGGCAGCGCTGACCGCGTGCAGATTTAAACGAGATTCATTGAAAGTCAGCCACAGAGCTGGGCGCCGGCTGCGCGCACCTGACAGCACCGCGACTGAGGCTGAGGCGGGAGGACCGCCAGGGCGAGGCCAGCCCCAGCAACGTAGCAAGAGCCTGTCGCAAATAAAATACAAAGGGCTACGGTGTAGCTCGGGGTAGAGCGCCCCGGGTTCAACCCCAGTGTCCAGAAACCCCACGGGGACTGCACCCCAGTGGCCTTAACAGAGGGCAGGTTCACTGGACTGGCCTCCTTGGAATGGCGCTCCTTCTTAGCTTTCTTCAACCACTTGCTTTTAAGCCCAAACCAACTACCAAAAACCTCACAAGCAAACTAGTTTTACCAAAGGACTTACACTGAGGGGGGACTCGGGAGGGTCGTGCACTGCGGGCGTAGGTCCATCCCAACAAAGGGGCTCACAGTATCGTCCTATGACTTCTTTGCCTTTCAGGCTTGAAAAATAAATGAGATATTTGGGGTCATTTTGACCTCTCAAAATCAGTATTAAATGTTCTAAATTTTACTTTATGTTCTGAATTTTATTCTATTTATTTTCAATAAAAACTCCAAAGTTTCTGTGGAAAATTATAGTTCTTCAACATTTTGCCCATTTTCTAGCATTAATTTGATTCCCCTTTCTAGACAATATGCTAATGTTATTTCTAATAGAACAATTTTTGAAGCTGATGGCTTGTGAAATTAAAAGCCAGCTGACAAGATATGAGGCTGTGTCTTCTTCACATTTCGATGTACAGTGGCATATAGTAGTTGCCAAATCAACCATTTAGTGCAGAACTCATGATTTATTCTTCTCATGGTAGTAATTAAACTTTTTTCTTTTTTCAAGCAAATTCAAAAGGGCTGATTTTAAGGAATGAGATCAATTAGGGAGTGTGCTACAATAAATGTTTCTTTTGAAATATTTTTGCATTACATTTTTGGGAAAGAAATTCTGAACCAATATTATATCATTTTAAATTAATGTATTTCAGGCCATCAAGTTTATATTTAAATTCAGCTTATATTTAAATGCAGATTAAAGTAGGCGAATATAAGTAGATAAAAATATACTTGTAAGTTATATCATTAATGAAAAAGGAAGAGATTACTTCAGTTGGTAATTTGAGAAATGAAATTACAAGCAAATGAAATAGTAACTATTGTAAATTCTATTGTTTTAATGCAGTATTGATAGGAGATTTAGCAGAAGAGATCATTACCGACATGGATTTCCAAGTCTTAAAAAACAACCAATGATCTGGAGGCTGAGGCAGGAGGATCATGGGTTCAAAGCCAGCCACAGCAAAATCGCAGCACTAAGCAACTCAATGAGACCCTGTCTCTAAATAAAATAGAAAATAGGGCTGGGGATGTGGCTCAGTGGTCAAGTGATCCTGAGTTCAATCCCTTATACCCCCCCAAAAAAAAAGACAATCAATGAAACAAAAAGTTACTTTAGTACTAATAGAGCACACGTTACACATTGAAAAGCATACTTTACAATTAAAATTGAATCACTGTGTTTACTGTTTCAGTGCTGAGGTTCTCGCATCTATAGAAAACATTATGCAAGACATAATCACAAGCTTGGCAAGAAATGAAGCGCCTGCCTTCACAATAGACAACAGATCCAGCTGGGAAAATATAAAGTGGGCATTTTGCAGTTTTATTTTTAAATGTATCGGTGTCATTCTTTCAATGTATTTGATTTAGAATTCTAGTTATTTTTCATTCTTTTATTGCCTTTACCCAGCCAAAAAAATGGGAATACATATCATACAGGTAGGTTGCAAAAGCTATAAGTAGGTGTAAAAGATAAGAAAAAGAGGGGCTGGGGTTGTGGCTCAGTGGTAGAGTGCTCACCTAGCATGCATGAGAAACTGGGTTCGATCCTCAGCACCACATAAATGTAAAAGATAGTGTGTCCACCTAAGACTTAAGAATAAGTATTTTTTAAAAAAAGATAAGGCAAAGAAAAATAAGGTTAGGGGAAAAAAAGGCACCAAAAGAGGTTAGAATTTCAAATGCTGGGACCTTGCTGGAAATAGGCATCAGGCTTGGATCTAAGCTTCCCAGCAAGTGGGGAGGGGATACTGTGGGTATGGTTCTCATCCGCACTGCAAAAGCAAACCCTTACTCAGAGCAGCCACCAGTCCTGAGCTCAGGCTGAAGTCAAGTGTCCTGAACGTGGAGCCCATTGACCAGGCTGCCTCCTGGTGATCTACTGCTGAGTCCAAGGGCTCTGTCTGAGTTAGCACCAAGTGATAGAGTGTTTTTCTTTTTCACAGCCTGTAAAATCTTCTCTATTGAATAAGGAAAAGCAGTACAAGAATGGTTCTCACATCTGAGTTACAGAAACAGAACAAAGGGAAATTTGAAACTGCTTAGTTACTATGGCCATTATAATTGATGTAGACTGTATTCTTTTTTTAGAGAGAGAGAATTTTAATATTTATTTATTTATTTTTTAAGTGGACACAACATCTTTATTTGTATGTGGTGCTGAGGATCGAACCCAGGCTGCATGCATGCCAGGCGAGCATGCTACCGCCTGAGCCACATCCCCAGCCCTAGACTGTATTATTTTGAATCATAGTTTACATAATATTTGGAAAGATGGATCTTATCTAGCTTCAAAGAAGATGACATCTGGTGTCTTTGCTTGGTGCCTTCTGCCACCTTTGGGAGAGGCTTGGTGGTTCCATTTAACAATCTAAGACAGATGTTATTTTATGTAATGTCGCTTTGTGGGCAAATTAGAAATAAAATATTTCAAAACTTATTGAGTCAAATTATTCAATGAATAAATTATTAAAATGAGTAAAATTCTAGTAAAATTGTGAAATACTTGAAAACATTTTACATATACTTAATGTCTTCCCAAGAAAGAAGTGTACACACACACTCCACAGTAAAAGGTATTTATTTAAAACACTTTATCTTATTGCTGTATGTCACAAAGCTAATTACCTAATTACCACCTGGACTGATCTAAGCTCACAAACCAGGTCTATAAAATTTTAGTGCTTGTGTCAAGAAGAAATGTGGGGTTTAAATGATGTTCTCAGAAGAGAACATTAAATGTGTATTGTTGGGGGTGGGGATTGTGGCTCAGTGGTAGAGGGCTTGCCTAGCACACGTGAGGCACTGGGTTCAATTCTCAGCACCACATTAAAAATAATAGAAAATGAATAAAATAAAGTTAAAAATGTGTATTGCTTGGTGTTAAGAAGATAAGTAATTTTCATTTTATTCCTTTGCTTTAAACAAAATTACAGGTTTGAAGATTCTGTTGGTCTTCAGATGGTGGCTCACTGTACCACAAGAAAAATCAAAAGCAATTCTCTAAAATCCGTTAAAAAATTTGGTAAGTTGATTTTTCTTAGCTTTGAGTGATGAATAAATAAATTTGGTTATTTTCTAGATTTTTGTTGTTGCTAGTTAAGGGAATTTACTTGGTTTATGATTCAAGATAAATATATTCTCTCTGTTTTGCGTCCTCAGAGCAATTAATTTTATCTAATTTTTCAGGCAACTATTTTATACTTAATTCTTTATTTCAGAAAGATAATTTTTTAAATGTTAGGAATGGTAATTGTGGACAATTAAGATTCTTGATAGCAGTGTCTTTAGAATCAGTAAGATAAATGGCAAGCAAATTGTTTATTGCATTTTATCTTCCAGCTCTAATCCTTAAAATATTGTCCATGATTTATAAATTAGTACAGAGCAACACTTATGCAACTAAAAGGTAAGTATATTGTTCTGGTAAAGTATTTTTTAAATGCAACATGAGATTTAGTTGGATCAACTTTATTATCTCTTTTGAGGAGTCATATAAGACTACCTTCTGGGGAAGAAATTACTTTCTTTATATGTTGTGTTTCATTCCGTTAAAGTTTTCACAGATAGCACTCCAATATTTGTCATATTCCAAAAGTACATGGTTAATTAGAAATGTGTGTTTTAAACTTTCATAGAGACATCTATTATACTGACAGCCAGCTCTTTGGTACTCAGACTGCCGTGGACGACATTATCAATGACATTTCCTGTATGCTCAGAGTGCCAAGGAGGAGTCTGCACATAGTAAGTGGTACTTGGCACAAAAATTTTCATCTTTTTTCTGTTTTACATATCTATTTGAAATAGTAAACCCATTATATAACATAAACATGATACTTAAAGAAAAACAATATTTTACAAGTTAAAAGAATGATGCTGTTTTACAGTTTTGCAAACAAAACCTTCCATTTTAAAATAAGATATTTGTATAAAAATTACAATAAAAGTAATATTTGCCTTATTTTGATATCATTTGATATTATATTTTTCTCATAAATTTATTCATCCTTTTAGATGAATGGATTAAAACAGGTAAATTATAAAAAAATTTTAATTCCTAAATACCTTTACACATTTTCTCCATATCTAAATTTCATCTGAGGTAAAATACAAATAATTTAGAAAGTAACATGAAGAATGCTTAGCAGCATGAAATATCATAGTGGAAAAGTTTTCAAATACATCTATTATCTTTCAGTTATCAACATCCAAAGGGCTAATTGCAGGCAATTTAAGATACATTGAAGAAGATGGCACCAAAGTGCATTGTTCCTGTGGCGCAACAGTAAGCATCCTTAAGGCTTCACATGCTTTAACTACCTTTCAGGTCACTCAATTTTGAGATGTATCTTATTTCTAGCTCTGTTGAATAATTTGGAGCTTAAGATTTTTAAATAAAAAAGGATGGAAGGATGAGTTAGGTACATGCTTTATGGAGTTGTGTAACACATAATTATATGCCAATTGTCATATTGAAATAAACATACGTATATATTCTCCTTAAAAATGTACTGTTAAGCTGGACATCCTAGTGGCTCAGGAGGCTGAGGCAGGAGGATCACAAGTTCAAAGTCAGCCTCAGTAATTTAGCAAGGCCCTAAGCAATTTAGCATGACCTGCCTCAAAATAAAATTTAAAAAGGTCTGGGATGCAGCTCAGTGGTTAAGCACCTCTGGGTCCAATCCCCAATACCAGAGAGAGAGAGAGAGAGAGATAGAGAGAGAGAGAAACATAATATGACATTACAGGTAGAGTGTGGCTTACCCATTTTAGTAAAGTTATTTACGTAATTTCCATAAAAAATTACTGGTTCTGAAACTAATAAGTTTAACACTAAACCTTTTGCTGGGCTCTGGTACGTAGAAAACATGCAGTACCGAACCAGCACAGCAGTTTGGATGGGTGACCAATTAGGACAGTGGAAAGATGATGGCCATGAGACCCACATCAGGACATTTAATTTCCTCAGTCTCCGCTTGAAGTCACATATCTACAATGCTTCCCAGAAGTTCTCCCTGCTGTGAAGTATTGTAGCTTATGTGTCTGTTTTCTTATTGAGGGATTCATCTGTTTCTTACTGTTTCCTCACTGAGCAATAAGACTCTTGTGACTGGTAGTCAAAGAAAATGAAAATATAGGATTTTTGTAATAAATTGTGTCATTTTTCTTTATTTTCCATGTAAAATAAAACTTGTCTTTTATTTTTACTTAGGCTGTTGCTGTGCCATCTAATATTCAAGGAATTCGGAGTATCCTTTAAGTGGGAAAGCTACTTAAACTTCTGGAATGTTCATTCATTCCTTTGATAAACCAAGCCTTCATAATATTTAACAACAAAGTTAGACCCTGTAGCCATCAAGATGAACACACACAGTCCCTGATTTAGTACTGTTTTAGAAGCTCACCATTATGTGAGAGAGACATATCTAAATACATGGGAAGATAGGTTTATATATTTAAAGGTAAAAATCAAAATATTCTTTCTACAGCTGTTTTTTAAAATTTTTTTATTAGTTGCTCAAAACATTACAATGATCTTGACATATCATACATTTGATTCAAATGGGGTATGAATTCTTATTTTTTCACATGTACATATTGCAGTATCACATTGGTTTTACAGGCCTCTACAGCTGTTTTTTAATTGATCCATATGGTACCATAAGATAGTTGATTAAATTGAAATACTGTCATCTTCAATTTATCAGCCTTAATTTCACAGATTTAATTACAGATGCAAAATTTCTGTTAATTGTAGAAAAAGATGCAACATTTCAGCGGCTCCTAGATGATGACTTTTGCAACAAAATGTCTCCATGCATCATGGTCACGGTATAGTACCTACCTTTACTTCACTCCAGGACTGTGGTGACTGGTGAGGGATTCCTAACATTATCTGTGCAATTTGGGCCACATTCTATTTTCAGTACAATGCATTGTTTGGGGTCATAGAACAGGAATGTCTACAGTGTGTATTTAAACCTGAACCTAACCTGGAAGTGATGCTCCTGACCTGTTCATACCCATGATCTTGCAACACCAGGGTGAGCCTGCTGGACCCTCAGCCACCCTTGCACCAGTCTCACAGTGGCTGTCTGTCTGTCTCATGTCAGTACTGGGGCCTGGAGAAGGGATGAATGAACTGGGCTGTTCTTTTTTTCCTCACACACATTTGTATACCATTAATTTCATGAATTTAGTCAAAAAGAGCTTGCTATTTTTAAACATCTCTGTGCTAAGAACACAGAAGCATATTTTATGATTCCCATGGGTGAGATAATATGCTGGGAACTATGGCATTGTTTAGCAAAAGGTGTTTGCTAGTCCTTGCTGCCCTAACAGAATACCACAGACCAAGCGGCTTAAACAACAAACCTTTGCTTCTCACGGTTCTGGAGGCTGGGGAGCTCCAGATCTGGAGTTTGGCGAGGGCCTTCTTTCTGATTCACTGGTCAGTCATCTTCTCAACAAGTCAAGAGGACCCTTCTAGGCTCCGTTTCACAAGGGCATTATTCACATTCAGCCCATGGGAGCTCCATTCTCATGACCTAGTCAGTTCCCAAAGGTCCCACTTCCTAGAACCATTGCATTGAAGGCAGGGGAGACAGGTAGTAAGCATCCTGCTATAGGTAATGTGAGCAGAATCCATAAAACTGGAGTGATTTGATGAAAACTGCTGCAGTAGGAAGGGAGGAGGTAGAAGTGAAGCTGGGCTTTGCACAGGTGGAGTGACTGCAGGGGAAGAGACAGGATCATGTTCTGCTCCTTTATAAGCTCTTTTCCCAGCTTCTGCTTTTATAGATCTGTGTAAAATCCTAGTTCTTTGAAGAAGAAAAGAAAGCTCTTCTACTTAAAATTCTTCTGGCTTATTGGATTAACAGTAAGTATGGTGTTTGTGAGGTATGTTTGTGGGAGCAGTGAGGAGAGCTGCCCTGGAGAGGAAAGCAGGACTTTGGGCAGCTGGGCAGAGTCCTGAAGGCCTGGACAGGCCCAAGGAGGCATCCTGATTTAGTGCAGAAATAACAGGCCTCAAAAAGTTTTTGAACTGGCCAGGAGGGAAGTGACAGGATTAGTGTGATAACGCGTCTGTTAGATAGAGATGACAGGAGTCAGGGAGCTATCAGGAGGCTGAGTTATCTCATGTGAGGATGAAAGGGGCAGGACAACCGGGAAACGACTGGATCAGAGGACATTTCAAGGGACTTGGTGACCACTGGATGTGATGAGCCAGTCAAAATCACAAGGATAGCTACAAGACAAGAGGCAGGAACACCCAGCTGCTCTTCATGAGAGATCTTGATGTGATTTTAGAAATAAAAACTTGGGGTGACAGTTGAAACTCTTGGTGGCATCTGCCTAGTTTGAAGTTAAGGGACAAGAGTGAAGATGGAAAGTACAGACTGAGAGCTCATAAGCAATAGGCCATGTTATGGAGCCTGAGATGGACAGTCTCTCGTGGGTTGTCCTACGCCTCATTCTTTGGCTTAGTCCTCTTCTTTCAGTTCTCAATGCTGAGAGGCCATGTTTGTCCAGCTGTAGACAAGCCACTCCAGACAGAGAAAGCTGCAGTGGCTCTGCTCAGCCCTGGTGTTTGGAGATGCACATCAAGCAAGGCTCTTGTCCCATTGGGTTGAGGAGAAGCATAAGAGTGCTTATAAAGAACACAGGTGCAGGGAGGGGAGCCTCACCCAGAATCCACCGTTTTTGTTCTCTGCATGCAGCCCACCAGTCCTGCTGAAATACACATGCATGCAGCCCCACCCTGGTGCCACTGGTGTCTACTGATGACTGCCATTATGCCCACAAGAAGCTGGCAGGTAGAGCTGGGATAGAGGGTCAGGCTAGGAAGAACCACTTAGACCAGATACTATTGGACTCCTCTACTACGTCCATGTGCTATCTTTTCCCCAAGGAAAAAAATGAAAAATGCACTACCCTTCAGTAAGTGGTGTGACCCACCAGGAACACTTCACCTAATAAGAGTTCTCATGTATTGCCATTGTCACATATCAACTTGTAAAGACTTTGAACAACTCTGCGAGATCTGTAGTCATTACCTCTGCTTTAATAACAGGAGTTACAGTGCAGGGAGATGCCTTTCACAGGCCTGTGGCTGCTCAGAACTAGGGCTGGAATCAACTAGCTCTGTGTGGCGATAATGCCAGAACTCCTGGGCAGGCATGTTTACTGTGACCTTACAGATAGAGCTAGAGCATTAATACTGACGGGTAGGGAGCAAATTCAAACTCAGCTCTCTGCTGCAAGTCCATTTGTCATGGGAAGGTAGGCCCTGCTTCCTCCTCTGCCCCATTTCATTTGGATTTCTGCTTTTCTCCTCCATTATTGTAATGCTCTTTAAATTACTTTTCTACATTATTGTTTAAATGACTTCATATTATTCCAGCATGCAGGGTTTATTAAACCCCAAAATTAAACCAGGCACTCTTCTAAAGATTTTATATTGTAAAATAATTTCATTTATATAATAACCTTTTAAGAGATTACAGAGTCCTAAACTACAGGGAGGTTTCCATACTCATTCACCTTTGTGCCACTGGGAAGAGCAGAGCCACCAGATTGACTGACTCCGGAGCTGGTTTCCTGGTGCTGCCCTGTCCATGTCCCTGCTGATAGATTTGTGGGATAGTTTTTTTTTTTTTTTTTTTTCGTTTTTGCCATTTTAAGTATTACCACAGTGGGCATCTTTAAGTGTGTAGGGTTTGTATTACTTTTGTTTCTGCTAAAATATTTCCTAGGGCTGGTATAATTGAGGCAAAGATATGAATGTACATGGGCTCCTTCACCCTGCACATATTGGACATTTGTTCACTGTGAACACCAGTCTTCTCCCATCTGAAATTCAAGGTGGGAGATCTCCTTTTTAAATTACTAACCAAATAAGGGTGTAGTTGTACCCATTCATCTTACTGGAATTAAAATACCTAATACCTATCTTGCTTTTAGGGAAAGGGTGTACCTGATCTGAACACAAGGCTTTTAGTCAAGAAGCTGTGGGACTCCTTTCACATTCCTGTTTTCACGCTAGTAGATGCTGATCCACATGGTAAGTTATCCTTGGACTATTTGGAACAACAATCATAATTAGTCATATTTGTAGTTGTGTTTTCCTGCTTTTAGAATACTTTCATCAAAATATTTTAAAAATATGGTTAGATTAAAGTGAAAGAATGTAATCATTTAAGGCAATTTATATGACATATGAGATGGAGAACCACAAGTTTATTATTGGTAGTGTCCACAAAACTAAAAATTGCAGATGTTAGATAAAATCTGAGTGCAAATTATTTAACCTGTATTATATAAGACTAATTTTAAAGTTAACTTTTTTTTTTAACAGGCATAGAAATAATGTGCATCTATAAGTATGGGTCTAGGGTGAGTATAGAAAAGTAGTTTTCCTTTCTCCACTATTTAGACATTTTACATTCATTGGGATGATGTGCTTACTTATCACCCCTAGTATGCAAAAGACTTCCAGAATGGACTCAGGAACTAGCGTCCCATTCCAGGATCTTCTGCTGTTCAGTGGCTGGGAGTCCAGCCTCCAGCATGACCAGTATACACAGGGAATAGATGAGCTGTGGGCAAAAACCATTATCATCCTGCACCTTCCAGCCTACTAAAGTACCTGCAAGGTCCCAGGGTAACAATAGTGTCTGATCACCAAACATACTCTAATCTTACATCTTGAATTTTGACTTTGGGATCCCTTTTCTTCCACTATAAGGAGGAAGGAAAACACCACCAAATTTCACCACTAGTCTGCAACAACCATACATCAGGGCTTCTCCAAATGTGTCTCTAGCTATCAGCATCCACATCACCTGGAAATTTGCAACTCTCAGTCCCCATCCAAACCTACTGAACCTGCACCTCCATGTGATTCTGATGCCTGGTTAAATTTACTACAGATAAAAAGGACGGCAGAGCAGGTGGAGAGACGGAATCACAGTAATAAATGCAGATCAGAGAGGTTAATTTGTAGTTTGCTCCATAAAAAATTAATACAGAGATAATACAGAGCATTTCGGTGCTTTTCCTTAGAAAATGATTTGTCTATGAAAACCAGTATGCTAGTTTTCTGCAAGTTAGCCTCATCTAACATATTTTTGCTCTTTGTTTCAGTCCATGTCTTTTGAAGCCCACAACCTCACAGTTCCAGCTATGAGATGGCTTGGTTTACTCCCTTCTGATATTAAAAGGTTATTCAGTATAGCAGAAATAGGACATTTAAAGTGATTTATTGTGATCAATAAAAGTTACTGTAAGGAAAAGCTCTTAATGTTGTTTTTAATTTATATTGTTCACTATGATTCAAGATTACCAATTATGAATTTAATTCATCAGTGTTTCTACTCTAGTACTAAAATACTTAATGAATAAGTTTAGTTAATTATAATAACACTTGCAGCTAGCTACAAATTTTTATTTTATGGTTAAAACATTTTATATTTTTTTGTACTTAGAGTATAATACATGGATTCTAATTAAATGGTAATCATTGACAACATCATTTGCCATATGAATCAATTTTTTTATCATACATTTAAATTTTTAACTTCATAAAAAATCTCATTTGGGGATGATTTAAAGTTTGGGAACCTCAAGTGGGGCACATTTAATATATATTGTTCATTATAGAAAAAAATTAATAAATAACAAGATAAAAAATCACCTACAGTTAAACAGCTGTGCTTTTGTAGATTTTCTGTGCACAACCATACTTTTTCACAAAGATGTGATCATACTGTACTGTTATTTTGTGTTTTTCATACAGCACAATGTGATCACTTTTCCCTACTAATACATTTCTCTTTATGACCTCATTTTAATGTGTCCTACTACAAGTTCCAATTCTGGATATTCTGATGTTTGTGTGGCCAGTCCCTCATAGCTAGACACTTAAGTGGTTTCCAAATCTCTGATAGTGTGTTGATGGGTTCCTTAAACTAAACCTTTACCAGCATCTTTAAAGAAACCCTGAGGCAGAATTCCCAGAAGAATTGGTGGCTAAAAGATTTTACACATTTTAAGACTTCTTTTTTTTTTTTTTGTACTAGAGATTGAACCCAAGGGCTCTTAATCACTGAGCAACATCCCCAGCCCTTTTTATTTTTTATTTAGAGACAGGGTCTTGCTAAGTTACTAAGGCTGGCTTTGAACTCTGGACTCTCCTGCCTCAGCCTCCCAAGCTGTTGGAATTACAGGTGTGTGTCACTGCACCCGGCTGGAAGGGTTGTTTTATTCTCTCTGCAGAACAAGAGCCAGTATATCTCTCCAGCATAAGATAGTAACACTTTTTTCCTTTCTGCTAATGGGATAAATTTTGAAATGTTTCTTATTGTTTTAATTTGCCAGTGAAAATTAATTTAACATGCTTATTGGATTTCTTTAAGCAGTGCACCCCTTGATTACAGGTGCTTGTTTCCTAAATTGGGAGTATGAACAGTTTTGGGGTAGACACTTATTACAAAATGAGAGAATGACAGGAAACCTTTCTCTTTTTTTTAACATTTACATCCAGTGAATTAAAGTTTTGTTCAATTTGATGTTATGTGTCATGACCACAATGCCTTGGAGGTGATCTATTTGTATGAAGGCCATTTCTAACACTAATTCAGGACACATGATCTGCTCATTTTTAAGTTAGAGGGCCTAGGGAAACTCTAGCTGCATCTTATAAATTCCACAAGTGTCCTCAGAACCACCCCAAATACATATACAAAGGAGCTATGCAAACACACTGTAAGGGAAATGCTCTAGGCCTCTCTCAAATTGTCACCCCTACCCAGAACCTGCCACTGGCAAATGGTCATAATTATGGGGATATAGAAAAAGACTGAAACCAGAGATCCCTTGAGAAATCAAGAATTTGTGACTTCAAAAAGTAGATTACACCCTAAATCTCAGACCTCTCATGTTCTATTTTTAAACACATACCAAGATAAAATTACATTCTTCTTTTTTCAAAGTTAAAACTAGATAGGTGAGTGTGTGTGCGCACACACATGAATGGGAAGCACTACACAAACAATGTCCTCAATGAATCACAAACAAGTAAGCACCTGTTGGAACCTAATGTCCCTCAGTGAAATGCAGCTTCTAGCCACCCCCAGTGGAACTCACGGCTCTGAATTCAATGCTCTGGGATGCTTAACCACACCTTGTTCAACTGCCCTAGTATCACATACACAGTGCCAGTGCTGGGGGCATGTGCTTAATAACAAAAGTGTGTCTTCCTGTCATCATCCTGTGATGAGAAGAAAGTAAAATGCTTAGGATTTATTTACTGTAGAAACAGACTTCCACTACCTGCTTGAAAAAGAAGAAAGTAAAATGCTTAGGATTTATTTACTGTAGAAACAGACTTCCACTACCTGCTTGAAAACTTGCTGATCTAGGATTCGACAGGGTTGTATTGATTTTCTTATCTGTCATTTCTGAGTTTTTTGAAATAGTACAGTAAATACAAGCAAAACATATGTGTGATGGGAACAGGCTTTTTTTTACTGATTTTTTTGCATTTATTTTTTACCAGGCTGAATGTACCTAGAGATAGTTTGATCCCACTGACAAAACGGGATCAAGGGAAACTTGACAGCATCCTCAAGAGACCTTATATTACTTGCCAACCATTTTGGAAAAGAGAAGTATATGGTGTTTCTTTTTGAATTCAAGTGTTGTATAAAGTTTAACTGCCTTTTGCTTTAATGGTGGCTGTTCACATAATATTTTGAAAACATACTTGTAATTTTATATAACCAACAACTAATGTTATTGTGGTTTAGCAGTAAATAGTTGTTGAAATGGAATCATGTGAAGGCTAATAGATGAGGTCAGCCAGATGCAGCTGGTCTATTTTTACCCTTATCATGGTTATTTATCCTTTGTTGATGGCCCTATCAAAGTTTATGAGATTAAAAAAAATGAAAAAAGAAATCATGAATGGTCCCAGACCATGTCTGATTACTGCAGCATCTGTACCAGGTATTCTCTCCTCTGATGGTTTTCCTGTAGCAGCTCAGGATATCCTGGCTGATCCTGAAAACTATTGTTGTGATTGTGAATAATAAAAAAAAAAAGTCAAGGCTGATTAGTTTGTTGAATTAACAGAACTGCAGCAAAGAACTCTGATTTTGTGATATTTTACCTCTTATTGGCAGATGGAAATAATGGCAGAATCTAAAATGAAGGCAGAAATCCAAGCTTTAACCTCCCTGTCGTCAGATTACCTTTCCAGAGTGTACTTACCCAACAAGTTAAAATTTGGAGGATGGATATAAAAGCACACGTGGAGGATGGAAGAATCTGTTTTCCAGAGGCCCTTCATTAGTTTAACTGGCAAACACTGTTGTGGGAAGAATATGTATTTGTAGTTCCGTAAAGGTAAAGGCAAATAATTTCCATTAATTATATGTTTTGTCAAAATAAGTGCTATATTCTAATTTTCTCTAAAAGATTTTATGTAGGGCTGTGGTTGTGGCTTGGTGGTAGAGTGCTTGCCTACATGTGTGAGGCACTGGGTTCAATTCTCAGCACCACATATAAACAAATAAAAGTCCATCAATAACTAATAAAAATTTTAAAAATAAAAGATTTTATGTGGACTGATTTTTATCCTATCTTCTAAATTGTAAAAGAATATGATTTTGACTTTTAAATTTTATTTGGAAAAAATGTTTTATTTGAATAAAAGTCTGAAATATTTGTCTTCTAAATATAACTAATGTAAGACATGAGATTTTATTAGTAACAAAAATAACAACAGTCAATATGAAATGTTGCAAAGAAATTATAGCATCTGGAAGTTTCTTTCTACATTCTCTTTTGCCTTCAAGAATTATTTTACTTGTAAATTAATTTACTCTTTTGTCCTCAAGAATTAACTTACTTGTAAAACTAGTAATATTTACCATGAAATAATACTTGGATTGATGTAGTCCTCCATGCTTTGCTTTACTTTGTTTGGGACCTACTTTTTTATCGACTGTATTATTAGAAAATTTTTCCCCAGGGGTTGTTCATTATTGCTCCAATTCAAGTCCATTATTCTTTAGTCTAGATCTATAGAACAAAGAACTTCTTCAGTTTTAAGATTCACAGAAGCTTCAAATTTTAATACGTGCTTCTCCAACAGTAATAATGTGATCTTTTCCCTTTATAAATTTACCTTAATTTTGATATACATGAGTTTTGTGATTTTATTCTGTACTTTCAGTAGATCATTAGCTGCACCAAACATTGCTAGTGAATTCAAGCAAGAATATGTATTTATATCAGTACATAAATGTTGGGTTGGTTTATAAAGATAAATGGTAATAATAGATAGCATTTCTGAAGTCTTAGATGTGCCAGTCACTGCTCACACATCTCATTTCATTCTCCAAAGAACCCTGTGATTACTCAGCAATTACACCAGGGTTTATAGGTGACAGCACGAAAGATGTTACTTGTCCAAAGCTTCAGTCATACTAGGGGACAACAATACCATCCACCTCAAGAGCAGCACCAGGTACAGAATACGCAGGCCAAAGGCAAATTGTAAGTGGGAACCCTTGTTCTAAAGTTAAGAATCTCAAGAAAAGTAGCATAGGGAATTAAACCAAACACAGGACCCTTCTTAGCCAGGGGTCCTGTGTGACTGCACGGGCTATGGGATGGCCTGCCTGAAAGGCTGGAGTAAGGGTTAAGCAAGTAATAACAATTTAAAAATATTTTGCTGGCACTTGGTATGTGCCAGGTATTTTTCTATGTGCTTTGCAAACAATAACTCATTTCATACTTACACCCCTAGGAGCAGGTACTTTTTATTGTCATCCCCATTTACAGATGAGAAAATAAAGGAACGGAGTTCAAGTAACTTTCCTAGGGTCATATAATTAATAAGTTATAGAAGCTGGGCATGGTGGTACATGCCTTGTAATCCCTGCAGCTCGGGAGGCTGAAGCAGGAGGATCGCAAGTTCAAAGCCAGCCTCAGCAAAAAGCGAGGTGCTGAGCATCTAAGAGAACCTGTCTCCAAATAAAACACGAAATAAGGCTGGGGATGTGGCTCAGTGGTAGAGTGCCCTGAGTTCAATCCCCAATACCGCTCCCTGAAAAAACAAACAAAAAAAAAAGATTAATAGAGTCTAGACTTAAACATGAGAGTCTGGGTACCACTACCCTGGTATGTGTAAAGTGCTTCACATTTGTCCTGGCATGCACCCTCTAGGTGAAGGACTGAGATTCTTATTGTTGTATGCCAAACTAAGGTCCCCCTGAGGACACATTAACAAATATTTTATATTCCCTGGACACTTGAATATCACACATTTCATTTTGAGAGCATTTCTTGTATGCCCTTAATTTGACTTGCTTGAGAGACTATTAAAAATTTTAGGCATATTATTATAAATTTCAAAGTTTTTCTTTGAATTTATACCATACCTAATCCCTTAACATGTAACAATGTCACTGAATTTTGACAGATTTTATAAAGGAGGAAATTACTAAGTTAGAAATCTATTTAACTCACAAAACATCTGTGTTAGGATACACTGTCAAAAATGGGAGTGACAAACATACAATATTATTAAATATATTGTATATTAAATATACAATATTATTAAAATTTGAAAATGATTTTCAGATATATTTCAGTTCAGATAAGAAATCTACTCACTTTTTAAGTGAGCAGTAACTAGTACAACAAAAAGATGTCCAGTCTTTTTTTTTTTTTTTCTCAAGGGCTCATAAAGATCCTTGTAAAAAAGAAGCTGTTTGTAATACCCATTTTCTGAGAAATTTAAACGATGTAGGTATCTTTTTAGTGCTATTGAAGAGAACAGGTGCTCTCAAAACTAAGCCATATGTACATGTACACTAAAAGCATCTTCAACGGGATGTTTTTGTAGTAAAATACTGAGCAACTCTCACTTGGTTTGCTAGGTAGACTTGGGTTCACCATTCCCTGGTGTCTGTCCTAAGGTCACAAAAACCCCCAAACAAGCCAAGGTTGCCCTCTGCTGGCAGAAGCTCATTGTTCTCTCATCCTTCCACTATTTTGGGTAGAAATTCCTTTAAAATATTTTCAAGTCATTTTTTTAAAAGAAACAGAGTGGAACAATCTGTAACACAAAAACAGAGATTGGGGAAAATCACAAGGAATTACATGTTAAGTACTTCTTGACAGGAAACCGCTTTGAATATCCCAATTCCTGGTACAGATAACACTCAGTGTGTACACTTTGCAAACAAGGTGTTTAGAAATCTTAAGCCAAAATATTAGAAGTTTTTAATTAAAATTTCAAAATTATATAATTTAAAATGTAAATAATTTATTCTAAAATTACATACTCAGTTTCTATTCATCTAAAAACAGAGTATAAACTATCATTCATAAATATCCACCTGTGTAAAAACGGCAGAAAAGTTTGCCAATGTGAATGATGACCACAATCAAAATCTAATTTTAATTATTTTGCTTTAAAATTATTTTTGCCTATATAGTCCATGGATACAAATTTTATAGATCTTCCCTTCTAGGGGAAAAGTGAGCCGCCAGCATTTTGTCATCTGTAAGTAGTCAGGTGTGGGAGCAGGCCGCCAGCTGTCCAGTTCCACCCCTGCCCTGTGGCTGGGAAAACGGCAGTCTAATCTCAGTTTCTGGCACAAATGTGGGCTCTCCGACGGAATCTGCGCGTACACCAAGATCCCACGGATCCCGGGGATGCTTGAGGCGGTCATGGCATGCAGACCAGGCCCAGTAGTGAACTCGGCCGAAGGTCCCGTGCTTCTCTGAGTGGGCACAGTGGACACGAGTCCACAGGACCCACAGCTCCTTCTTAATTCAGCTCAAGGTGGCCCCTCTTTGGAACTGAACTCCTGCACTGGGCCCGGCAGAGCAGACGGACGGAGTCAAAAACGGAGTCACCAAGCTGAAACTTGTCATGTGACCTTTCAGAAAGCAAGCAAACTGAGGTCACGGCCAAGTGTCCTAGACGGCCAGCTTCGGTCGGCATGATAACGAGGCTCCCTCCGCCTGGACGCCCGCCACACCAGCAGCCTGGCCTCAAGCAGTCGGCCGCTTACCGCTCTGCGTCCGCGAGGCTCACCCCACGCCGGCAGCAGGACCCCCACCTAAACCCGCAGTCACCTTGTCTCCAGACGCCTTGACGTTTCCACCGAGCGTTACCGGTGGCAGGAGCCTTCGCGTGACATCGCACGGGCAACCTAAACAAGAACCTGGACTCCAGGCCCGGTTATCCCCCGAGGGCGGAGAGGATCCGCGCAGGGGGCCTCCCCCAGCAAGGTCCTGGACATTAACTGGCAGTAATCAGACCTTTGCTTTTTTTAGACTTTTAATCACGACAAATACGATAATTAATTCACAAGCCGAGAGTTAACTACCTTCCACTAGCCCGGTCGGCCAATTTACAAAAGCGGTTGCTTGGCAACATGCCGCGCTCCGCCAATTTACCGCCAATTCGCAAACTGCTAGCGTAAGTACTTCCTCTCGACGTCAACGACGCTTTGGCGCAAGAGCCACCTCCCCGGAAGGAGGAGCCGATTTCCTCAGCGCTTTCCGGGAGAAACCGGAAGTGGCTCCGGGACGCATGCGCTGTCTTTCCGCGGTAATTGGGGCTGTTTCTACCACCAACTGGAGGAGACTCGGGCTCCCGGTGTTTCTGTCCGGGCTACCTCGCCAGTGCTCCTCCGCGCCAGAGCAGGTCTGCAGGCTCCTCGGGTCCACCCGCTGCCCGCCCCCGGCTGCTCGCCGCGGCGTCTCTCAGGTAGGCCCCGAGCCGTCCGTTGCAGCGCCTCGCAGCCCGCGGAGGCCAGAGTCCCCTGAGGGGTGCGCCTGGCTGCAAGGCCGCGGCGCGAGCGGCCTGTTGGCCGAGCTTGGGCAGAGGCTCTGCGAAGCTCGGCCGAGCCGGAGGGGGCCTCGGGGGTCGCCTAGGACCTGGTCTCGTCGTTGCCCTTGTAGGGAAACTGAGGCCCCGGGGAGGGTCTCCCGGGGTTAATGGCAGCGTTGTCGCCTTTTCCTTCCATCAGGCACACGACGCCTCTTAGCAGAAGCTCTCCTGACCGGTCCTCTGCACAAAGGCCTCCCTCGCAGGTTGCTTCGTCGCCCTTGCCGCTGTCGGAAGCAGGTCAGTTCCTTGGTCTTCCCTGCCGCGCGTTTCCCCCAGCGTGTGCGTTTGCACTCCCCGGGCCAGGCTCCATGCTGCCGGACCGCTGCGCCCGGGGAAGGACCCAGGCAGCTGCGTGCGCTCCTGGAGCTCGGGACGGACCAAAAACCAGAAAACGCAAATCGGTACAGGGCGCCGCCACTAAAACAAGGGGGTGTGGCAGAAAGTTGGAAATGTTA